TATTTTTTAAAGATGCCTGGTATAGATCAACAAAGTGCTTTGGCGTACGACAAGTACGTGACCAGTGCCCAGTCATGCGACAGCGATGGCAAATACTTTCAATAGTCACCTTTTTTTGCTTCTTTTCTTTGTCATGATTCGGGCCAAAGTTAGATTTCCTAGGACTGTTAAATTTCTTGCCACCCCTTCGAGGATTATGTTCTTGCCTGCGCTTATAGCACTTAAAATGGCCAGTATTTTTCTCAGAGTTAGCATGTGCTTCAGGCAATGCTTTTGACCCAGCGAGTCTAAGATCATGATTTTTGAGCAGCAATTCATTAGTTTGCTCAGTAGTGAGGAGCACAGAAATTAATTCAGAGTATGTGGCAAATTGACGCTGCCGGTATTGCTGTTGTAATACAATATTCGAAGCATGGAAAGTGGAGAAAGTTTTCTCTAATAGTTCCGCATCAGTGAACTTGATACCGCATAACTCAAGCCGAGAAACAATATCAAATAAAGCGGAGTTATAGTCAGACACTGATTTAAAATCTTGCAATCTGAGATGTTGCCAGACATATTGTGCTTAAGGGAGGATAACAGTCTTGGTATGATCATACCTATCCTTCAACCTGTTTCACAGGGTCTGAGGGTCTCAAACGGATAAATATTGAGTCTGCAGGCTCTCATGCAAATGACGACGAATAAAAATCAGTGCATTTGCTTTATCTTTTGCATTTGAGGTTCCGACTTCTGTAATTGCATTAGCGAGATCTTGCCCTTGGAGGTGCATTTCCATGTCAAGGCACCAGGATAGATAATTATTTCCACTCACTTCCAGGATGTGGAATTTGGGCTGTTCAATATTTGCCATAATTCTTGCAAAACAAATGAATCCTTAAATTAATTAGAAGGATTTCCAAATATCCACCGCCACTTTAGGAGCAGAAGGATACTTTTAGATTGGAAATTGGCTTCAGGCCAAGAAAAAGAAAAATGAAGAATTGATAGGAGAAGATGAAGTATAAGTTGATTAATGAAAACAAAGAGAACACTTACCTTGCAAAAATTATTTACTCAGTTGGTAGATCTTCATGCTGATAATGTGTTGTAAAATATTGCGTTGCAACTATATAATAGAGAGAATAGAGATTAAGTAGAGAATGCAGATAAACACCAAAGATATATATTTTTTCTTTTCATTATGTTCTCTTTTCTTACACAATGATCAAAACTAAACTCATATTTATAAGAAAACAAGAATGCACATATCATTAATGTCAATGTATTGAATACATACATTGAATAGGGAGATGAACATTCATTGGAGATTGTATGTAGAATGTAGGTTACAAATGTACCATAATAGGTACATTGAATATAATGAATATTCATTCATGTATTTCATAACATATATGTGTGTGTGTGTATGTATGTGTGTGTAAAAATGTACTTTCTACTATCTTTATCTAAAAATTAGTTTATGTTAAGGCCAACAATACAACCTAAAGGAAGGTGAATAAGTTGATTTATAAACTTGACAATTTTCATGGAGTATCATGTTAAACGTTGATAGATGCAAGAACAAATTGATAATAACAAATGCAAGTGCTTCTATCAAGGAGATATAGTCAAAATTAAATAGAAAAAAATTATTGTATGTAGACATATTGTGATTCAGCTTATACTAAGCTTACGTCCAATTTTCCAGACAAATAGCCACGATAAGATACAATCTACTAGTAATCTCAAGAGATATTACAAATAGTAGTAAGTGTTGTTTCTACTCGAAGTTGGTAGATGATAGTATTGACACACAAGCAACTCTAACAACACTAAATTATCATTTCTTCCCATATTACAGATAGAAGCAACCTCATAGAGAATATAATTAGAAATACATGGCTTCCACCAACAAAAACAAAGTAAATATGAACCTCAAAGTAATAGACTGAGTTTGTTCGTTTCCCCCCAACTGTACTACTTCCTTTGGGTTAAATTTATAGCCATTAGACCTCAAATGACCGTTTGAAACTCAAATCCCTCGAGTAGTCATTGGTTCTATCGTTAGTAGAAGCAAAATGTCTCTATGTTATTCTTACATTGATAGTTTTCCAAAATAGTCACTGCTGCTTATATCCAGAGTTTGTCATCTCTATTGCCTGCTCATATATGATAAAATTGCTCCGACTCAACTCCAATCCTTCAACTGCGAATTCCAGAGCTATGTACTAGCCGTTAGACACCAATTTGAATTCAAATCAAATTCAAAAGAAGTATGAGTCCTCTTCTCCACTTGGTAGAAGCACATTACACGTCTTTTGTGTTGTCTGATAAAGGCAGCCGCTCTTGATAGCGATCCAATGACTCTGTCAACGCTATTTGTTAGAAACTAACTTCCGATCTATTATCTTCTAATCATTCCAAGCATATTGGTGATCATGACTCTTTTTACCTATTCACATTTTCATGGTTCTCCCAAGTCTTCATGATTCCGTCAGACTTGTTCTCATTCTATCAGGTCGATTCATGATTTACTGAACTCCATGTTTTAGACTTGTTCTCCTTCTGTCGGGTCTATCCAGCTTTAGAAACCTTGATGCCCAATACCTCGTTCGCCCTTGATAGTGGGCAAATCACTCCTCATACCATTTTACCTGCTTAGGACATCGCCTGCATATTGGCTTGTGTATCTATCATATGGTCTACTTAACCAATATACATATTAGTAGCATTTGATTATTTTGTCATCTTCAAAATAATATAGAGGATTTTCCTAACACTTTACTTGCCCATGCTTCGCACAAATTTTCTTTTAAATCTTACAAGAATTTATATTACGCAGCCATGGTTGATCAATTTTTCTTGAAATTATTCTTGTTTGATCTTTACTTTTATCATTATTTAACTGATTATCGCTGGTTTTGGTGGAGTTTTGGTTGGTTTGATCAGGAGTGGTGGCTGCCGAGAGTGATGGCTACATTCTCCATCTTCGATCGTCATCCTTTGTTGAAGATCCTTGGGTATATTTTATAAATCTTGAAGATAGTATTTCATTGGCAATTTGAGTTTAAAACTGGATTTGTATTGCGCCCGGTTGGAAGTTTTGGAGTTTCCTATTTTGGTGTTGGTTAATTCTAGAATCACGATTGTGCTTGATTTTCAGATTTGAATATTGCAGGAATGTCGACTTTGAAAGGCCTAAATAGTGTTGCCAAAGTTGTTGGTCACGGTACTTTGTCGGATTCGATAAAGGATCAAATTGGAGGTCCTTTGCCAAGAAATACGGTGTTCGATCTTTTGTACTGGAGGCGAATGCCATGCCTGCAGGTGATGTAGATAAATCTTTGATATTCATGGAGGTTGGCCTGGTTCTTGAGTATAAATCCTTCGTCATTTTATCCACTGTCATTAATGTCGGCGTGAAGATTTGGACCATTACGCTTGTTCGTCAATTACTTGGGTGGAAACTGTCGTTCGATATGGTAAATCAACTGTTCGTAAGGTCTGGACTGGGAAAGGACTTACAGAAGTCATTTCCAATAGTGTAGTCTTGTATTTTAGCAGGACTAAATATTTTGTTCATGTTGAAAACGGTGAAATCCCACCGAGGTGTAGCCCATGCCTGGTGTTTGGTCATGGGGATAAGGAAATGTCCATTGAATAAAGCCAATCCTGCTGAGGCGAATGCTGTGAGGCCGAAGATCCAAACCAATACTCCTCATGGACCTAGTAGGGAAGACTTACGTGGTCGATGCTCCGGTTAAGGAGGTGATGACGGACATCGGGGGTAGCAGCGAGGAAAGGTCGAGGGAAACACCGTGTGTTCTAGAGAGAGTTGATGAGTCGTGCCATGTCCTGTTCAGGGGAATTTTGATCTACACATTTTGCACACGAGTTGCAGCCTACTGAATTGCAGGTGGTCCCTTCTGAGCTAGAATCCGGTAGTTATCCATTGCAATCCTAGAGGATGTGGCAGACGAGAGGTGTGGTCCGTGCCAATGTGTTAATGTTATGTTCAATATCTCTAGTGAGAGTGAAGTTTCTGAGGAGGCTGGCTCAATGAGGTACTCTTCTTCAGCTAGTTCACCATGTAAGAAGGGTAAAAAGAAGAAGGAGGCGCAGAAGATCATGAAGTAGTCCCTCGTGGCTTCAATTGGGAAAACTCCTCGTGATGTTTTGAAGATGACGAAATATTTAAAAGCTTCTAATGTGTGCATTTTTGGTTGATAGATGTGCAAGTAATATGCAAATGGTGCCCCAACTTTGTTAAAACAAGGACTGCTTTGCCACTATTCAGGGTGGATAAGGTATTGAGCGTCTGCATGTCTAAAAGTTTGATGAACCCGAGTAGAGAGTGAACAAGTCAAATATGAGAAGTTCATGGAAAAACCAAAGAAAAGTGCACAACCGAGTAGAATCAGATTCACGAATATGCGTAGAAGGACTAATAGAAAGTAAATAATTGCATTCTAGCGCGAAACACGAAAAGACCGGAAGAATCGCTTATAGAGGCAGCTTCTGCTAAAGTGGAAGACAGGTGACGTGCTTATACCACTTGGATAAGAGGACATAGACATCTTTTTGGATTGATTTGAAATTCAGGCTAGAGGTTAACAACAAGTTTCAAGTTCTGAAATTCACAGCAGAAAGGCTAGGGTAGAGTCCCAGCAGCTTTACCTCTTTTGTGCAAGCAACCAGAGGGCCAAACAATCGACAGAGACAAAAACTCCAATTCAAGAAACCTCTCTTTTGCGAGCCGTGGCAATTCGGGCAACCAAACCTTGCCTAAGAGGTAAAAATAGCGCCGCCTATAATATATATGTATAAGGTAAATTCATTAATTGTGACTATCGATGGCCAAAAATCCTACTTTAATGATTTGTATTAATTAATTGCAGAATCCTGTGTAAAATAAGGAAGGAAAGATATATTTTGAGGTTTCATAACCCGCACAAATCAGGACCCGAACCGTTTGAGCAAAACCGGACCCGCTCATACATAAACCTCCCCTCCACAAACTCTCTCCGTTCATCATGGAGACGACGGCGGCGGCGGCAACCACATCGCCGGTCAGAGACCCTCCCCGTCCCTCCGCCGGACCTCCCCAACCCGCACCGGTACCCGCGCTTGTACCCGAACCTCCGTCCACCCCCGTCCCCGCCCCCGCCCCCGCCGCCACGGCCCCTCCTCCCGTCAAACCCGAACCACCGCCATCCGCCGAGCCTCCCAAACCAACCGCCGCCGTCGCCGTTCCTCCGCCTCCTCCGTCCGAGCCGCCCGTCGCCGACGCCGACGTCATCTACATCCCTAGCTACTCCGGTAAGTCTCTAAAACCCTAAAAGTGGTCTTCCAGTGCGATGATTGAGTGTGTGCAATGTGAATTGGTAGGGTGGTTCTCATGGTGCGACGTGCACGAGTGCGAGCTCCGGTTACTCCCCGAGTTCTTCGATGGGAAATCGCCGTCGAAGAACCCTAGGGTGTACATGTACTACCGGAACTCCATGATCAAGCTCTACAGGCGGAATCCTTCGAGGAAGATCACGTTCACCGATGTGAGGAAGACGTTGGTCGGCGACGTCGGTTCGATTCGTAGGGTTTTTGATTTTTTGGAGACCTGGGGGCTGGTCAATTACTCAGGGTCCGCGTCGGGCAAGCCATTGAAATGGGATGATAAGGAGAGCAGTAAGACTGCCGGCGGCGGTGGCGGTGGTAATGGCGGAGGTAATGCGGTTGACTCTGCCGGGTTGAATAAAGAGGCGTCGAAGAGGTTGTGCAATAGCTGCAAGTCTGTGTGCACTATTGCTTGCTTTGCTTGTGAAAAGGTGATGTTTTACTTCATTTTTTTTGGTGAAGATGTTTTACCATTTTTTGTTGTTGAAGAAGATGTTTCTTTCTCTTGCCTGTTTTTGGGGGGTTTCTGTAGATCCCTGATGTCTCAAAGATGTGGTGATTGTTATGAGAGCAAATCTCATCCGTTCATCATAAATCTTTTGAGTTATTGTGTGTTATGATATATTTTGTAGGAGTTGCGATAAAAGTGATTATGACTGAGTTATGACGAGGGATCGGTTTCCGAAGGACCATGGAAGGCCCCTGTTTTTAGATACACCTGCTGAAACACCGTGATTTCATTCTTTGCTTTTGTAGCATGCTTATGTGATATCATTTTATTAGTGATAATAAAAGATGTGATTTGACAAAATTAAGATGATGGTGTGCTATGGATTTTCTCTTTTGGAAAGTAAAGACTCTTTTTATTGTTGCTCAAAGTTTACTGTCATGCCCGTTGAGCACTCTGTGGCTTCATAGTAAAGAAGGAAATGATATGGACCACACTGCATCTCACTCATTAAGTTTTCAAATACCTCGAAGATGATTACTCAACAAATAGTAGAGCTTTCAGCATATATTCCATATGTTTGGTTTTAGATTTTTTATGTTATAGGAGTACATTTACTTCATTTGCATTCAGCTTTGTCTCTATAATATGGGTGATATATCCATCCATAGGAGAAGATGATTGATTAGCTGGAAGATTATTGATGCTGACTATATTACATTTACATCTACTTGTTACATGCAGTATGATTTGACTCTCTGTGCAAGGTGCTACGTTAGAGGAAATTATAGGGTTGGCGTTAGTTCTTCTGATTTTAGGCGTGTTGAGATCAATGAAGACATGAAGGCAGATTGGACAGAGAAAGAAACTTTGCATCTCCTCGAAGCCTTAATGCATTATGGTGATGACTGGAAGAGGGTTGCCCACCATGTTGGTGGTAGGAGTGAGAAAGAATGTGTCGCTAAATTTATTAAACTTCCTTTTGCCGAGGAACTCATTAGTGATCCTTACTCTGGAGACATTGATGGGAAGTATAATACTGTGAAGGACAATAATGACGTTGAATTTGGAATTGAAAGCTCCACAACATCGGCACCCAGTAAAAGAATTCGTCTCACACCTCTGGCTGATGCAAGTAACCCGATTATGGCACAGGTACGGAATTCTGTTTTTTCCTAATGTTGAAAGTTCTGTTTTCAATTCTGTGTGTTTGTGTTTTTGGGGTTTAGAAGACCACGTTATTAGCATAGATAAAAGGGCACTGGTTAGGAAAGTTTGTAGGATGTCTGTCCTTGGCAAATGTTACATATTGTTTTCCATTGTCGTAAGACTATGCATGATGCATATCTGATCCATGGTGTTAAACTTCCTAGGATAGAGCTTAGGACACTAGTTGCTTGCATGTTTGACTGTTGTAAAGGTCACAAAGCTACACTTTGTATCTTCGGCTTTTTCCACCATTTTTGAGTGAAAGACCGGGCTTTTTGAAAACCGGAATCTTTATTAGTAGATTTTAACAAAATAATTGGCAAGATTTTTATTATTATCTGTTATTTTTCTGGTGAATGAATTAACTTCTTCCTTACTTATTAAATTAAGAGAATCTTTTACATAATTGAATTGAATTTTCTAAGTGAATGCTTATCAAACAAGCATCTCAATAAGTGCTGAATTTTTTATTTTTACTGCTTAATTGAGGTTCTCAAATAGGCTCTTAATTTTCAGCACTTAATAAGAGTTTGAACTTCATAGGGTTATTGCTGTCCTAATTTCGTTTTTGGCAATCAAACCGTCTCTGCAGGCTGTTTTTTTGTCAGCTTTGGCTGGTGTAGAAGTTACAGAAGCTGCTGCTCAAGCTGCTGTGACGACCCTCTCTGAGGTGGAGTATGGAGTAAACAGAGGTAATTTTGGATCTTTGTTGGTGATACATTATGACATATTCATAACGCTACCCAATCAAAAAACCTTAAATACTAAGTAATGAATACAAGTCAAATAGCATTAAGCTGTCTTTATGATGATCCATAGGCAGCACGAGTAAACTTCACGTCCACAGTTTTCAGCTAAAAAACCAGGACTATTTTCTCAATCTTGTCCTTTTACAATGCTATTTTTCATATGAATAATTGCTTGGTTACTTCTTGTTGTATAAGATAGATAATTCAAAAGGACTATTATTAGCTGAAATTTGCATGTCATCGATGTATTTCGGCGATGGATATCTCCTGAGGCTATGGCAGTTTGAATGTGCGGCCTACCTGCTTTAAGTCTAAGACATCTACTTCTGTATGAAGCAAATGGAGGTGGTGGCAACCTTACACACTTGAGCAAGAAAAAGCAAAGTCAAAGACGTATATTAACTTGAGAAGCCATCTAGCATAAAATGCAATGAACTTGGGCTTCGGTGGCAACTGGAACCGAAGCAATCTGTAGTCGATCTTGGAGTCCTACAAATATATGTTGTGTTTTTTTTATATATTCATTAGGAAAAACGTGTGTTTATGAAGTAGCGATAGCTCATAAAATCTAGAATTAAGCTCAAGTGTCTAGAGAGAGAGAGAGAGAGAGAAAGGACTTAAGGAATCAAAATAATTCTACTGTTTCTGTATAAACTATATATTGAGGTGCACGCTATTTAGATAGTTTGTTGTGTCTTGGAGGATAGCCGCAACACACCTTCTGCACTTTGTGAAGGGCGAAATTTATCTTTGAGGACCACACCTTAGACATTTTTGTTTTCTATATATCTACTTGTAATTTGCAAGATTGGCACGACACTTCTTAGGCAATGATGACTTCATTTCTGTCATTTTGATGAGTGAAATGTCTTCCATAGTACTGGTTGTTCCAGACCTTTTAGGTTAGATATCTAGTGTGCAATTTTCAGAAATTCTGAATTATGAAACTGACATATATTGAGTTTGCGAAGCATGTTTGGTCTTGTCCATTCTTCTTGTTGCAAATTTTATTTCTGACCATGCATATGCACAGAACTTATCTTTCATGTATGTCTGAAAGTTAGTTTGGTCTCACCGTTGGGTGACTTGGGCATGGGCAAGTCCAATTCTTATTAACCCAATGACTTCATTCGTGACCATATTGCAGAAGCTGAAGTTTCTGCCAATGGAGAGACGACCCTAAATGCATTAGAAGGAGCTCTTATGGATGCAAATTCAGTGCTTGAGAAGGAAGAGCTTGATCTGGAGAGAGCTGTTTCAGACATTGTGGAGGTGCAGGTGTGTATTTTCTTCTTCTTCGTAAAATGTCTAGAGACAATTGTGCTAGTGTGTATTTTGATCTTTGGTTCATCTGAAACAAAATGGAATAGATCCAAATATAAAGGATCTTCCATGCGCTCATATTGATAAAATCTGTCAATTTTATTGGCGGTTAGATGTCTACCTTGGACTACCGATTGAAATGACCTGCTTGGTTTGTCAGATAAAATGGTGGAAAAGGAATTGTCTCAGGGAGTTGCTTGGATTTTCCTGTTTCGGCCTTTGGTCATCATCTGTCATCTGCTGGTGCAAATAAAAAAATTAGCTCTAGTCTTGTTCTTTTTAAGAATAGGGCTTTTCAAAGCAGGCATCTGCTGCTACTGTCTTCCTTCTGTTGAACCTTTTCCCATTCCTTGATCTGAATCCTTGCAGCAGGTGCCAGGCATCTTTGTTTGCTTGCTTCCCACTGCTCCCACCATCGCATTTATTGTAGAATACATAATGAAAATTTTGATTGAGGTTGGTGTTGATCACTTTCATACACTGGTCATGGTTCACAGATGAAGGAAATTCATGACAAGATAGTTCGCTTTGAGGAGTTGGATCTACTGATGGAGAAAGAGAGACAACAGCTGGAGCAAATGAAGAGTACACTCTTTGTCGACCAGCTTTCCCTGTTATTACATAAAAATGCTGCATCTAAAACTGGAGAGCGTGCAAGGGAGATTCTTAGAACTGGTTGATAATGTACTTCATCCTATGACAGGCTGTTGTAATGTTATGAAGCCCTCTAATTGGAAAGGCGATACTCGCTGTTTCATGAATGCCCTTCAATCCTTTCGCAAAGGAAACTTCTTTTTCGGTTCTCAATTGCTGCATATGTTTTGTTCAATAACTTTTTGGCAAAATACACAAGCCTTTGCAGCTTAGGTATGTGCGGAGAGAGAGAGAGAGAGAGAGAGAGAGAGAGAAAAGAGTGTGGGTTTGATTATGCCATTGGTGGATCCAGTGAATTTAAAATGGTTAGGAATTGCAATACGCGGATGGCATTACAACTCCAAATCAACTATGGCTCTTCGAGTACAAGCTATTCCTGCTTTCATCTTCTTTCAATTTCATATAAATCTGAAGGAAGCGACTGCCTGCAGTTCCCGCATTAGATAAAGAAATCAGTTTGTGAATATGATGAGTTGCGAGATGTAGTCGGGATTATAGAGTGCTTCTTGGGTCAACCGAGTTACCTGTTCTATCTTCGATCTGTATGCTTCGGACCTGTCTTCCAAAAACTACATGAACACAAAGTATATAATTTAGCGCCTTGGGTTTCCACTTAAAAGGATGAATTGCGAAGATAATCTGATTCCCCTGAGATCTAATACAAGGCATACCTGTCCAGTCACTGTATACAGCCTGTTGTACCAACCATTGAATGCCATCCCGATTGCTGAATATATATGTCTCCGACTCTCCCCGGGATTTTGAAGCGAATACTCAATGTAATAGAATCCTGTTCAAAGCATTCTTTTAGGAACGAATGCAGATGGACTCTGACTAAGGTCATCACTTGAATTCTAGGAACGAAGGCTACAATACAAACCATTGAAATGTACTACCGATAAATTCAGATTAAGGTAATCAACATCCCACCCCATTCATTGTACCAACCATTGAAATGTACTACTGATGAATTCAGATTAAGGTAATCACTTGAAAGTCTAGGGACGAGGGCCACAATACAAATGCCATGGACTCTTGACATTTTTGTGTGAGAAAGGGGTGTTCTGTTTAGCTAGAGAAGATTATGGTTGAGAGACTACCATTGGCATCTCGGCAATCGATGAGTTTAGCTGCCACACCAGGAGGCCTCCGCCAGCTTCTGTCCAAACCGTTTACCTACAACAGCTAGCAGACATTTAGAATCGTTTCAAGCGAAAAAAAAGTAGTGAATGAATGAGCTTTCGGTAATTGGAAGAAGATATTTACCAGACTCTCGGCGAAAGCATCGACTTTGCCAAAAGATCCCATTTTGGTAAAGTCCGGGCCAATGCCGGTGATAGCTACACTGACTAAGCGAAACAAGATGCAATTCGACAAATCATCAGGATTCTAAGTAGTGAAGAGATGAACGAAAGGATGATGGGAGATGAAATGTACTGTGAAGCAGGGTAAAATATTACTGTTTGAGGATGAATCTTCTTTGGGATAGAAAGCAGTAACGGATTTGAATCCATTAGGCTCACCAGCACCCACCAGCCAATCTGAATATAAACAATTTAGTAATTCACGCCATCATCATTGCCATTAAAAACCATTCATCTCATGTATTAGAAAGAGTCCGAGCAGAAAAGTAAAGCGGGCGATGCTGAAATGGTAAAGATTTTATGCAAGAAGAAAGAACAATTCCAACTCTCCAGCATATCGCGTCTTGATATTGAGACAAAATAAACTAGGAAAATGCCTTTATTGCGATCTGTATGAGCAAAATTAGTACTGTATCATTCATGACTCAGATCGTGCATCGAGAATTATAACTTGGTGGGTTTGCTGACACTGATATCCATTTCATTCCCTTCAGCAAGGGCTTCAACTTTCAGGATACTAATACATCAAACAATAAAAAGGTGAAATGAACTATAACAGATCAGAAATTAGATGAGAAATTCTGCAATTTTATGTTTGTTTTCTTTTGCTGGGAACAAAGCTATGAGAAAGTATGCAATTTGGTGTTCAAATTAACGGGTCATATCATTTCACCTTGAGGAATCGATATCTTGAACTTGTTCACATCATCCACATAAACTTGCAAATCCTCTTTTACACCTGAAACTCCAATTGGGTCCAAATAAGAACCTCAAATCCAACCACACATCCTAAACATTTGTCAAAGCATAAAAACAAAACACAGCACCAGCCTCAGCCAACGCATCTGAAGCAAGACTCTGAAGCGAAAGTGCAGCAAAACCCAGCTGCAACACAATCTCTCTCCTCTTAGCTCCACACAGCTTTCGCAAGTGCAAACTGGAACTAACCCAAAGACAATAACCATTCAAATAACATAAAGAAACTATATATACATATATATATATATATATATATATATATATATATATATATATGTTAATGTTGAATAAAAATGCCTGCCAAAGCAGCAGAAGTTCAGAAATTACGGTGCTTGAAGTTGCCTATTGTCTAAGCAACACTGCAAACAATATCTTCTTCCTGCTTCATAGCCTGGAGAAGAACCCAATAAAGAGAGCTTCAAATGCGTTGTCTCTCGTTTCTGAATTGAACTAGATAAATAAGAGCGAGCTGAAATGGTGACATGGGATGGAGATGACTGGTGCCCATGACCTTTCTTGTTGGAGGAAGAGCGAAGTCGCAGCAGGGACAGAGAGTTGAGGGAAGAACAAGAAGCAGCGGACGCCATGAATTTGATGCCCCTTCAAGATTGCATTTTTCTTTGCTCTTTTGTGTTCCGCTTACCTACAATACAAGTTTACAATCTTGAACTTCCGCGTTGTAATACGTCGTCGTCTTCTTCGTGACATGATAAATATCAGGAAATTGTGAAAAAAAAAAATCTAGGTTTTTTTATAATTATTGCTGCTGCTGCTGCTGCTGCTGCTGCAAAAAGGGTGTGTCATTAGATGACAAATTTCCCCGCCCTCAAAATAAATTATGAGATCGCACGAAGTCTAATTTTTTTTTTTATCTTTTTTATTTTAGAACAACGAAAGACACTTTTCGATCCGAGGTTAAAAAGTTGCGATGCAAATAAAGCAAATTTCCATGCGCGCAGACTAAAATGCCTTTCATGTTTGATTGAAAATTTTGAACAAGTATATCCAGCTTACCAAATTACGAAAATTCGAACAACTCCTCGTCATATGCCGTTCTTCTGTTCTAAATTCTTTTTCACGCCGATTATTTAGTTAAAGTGGTGAACTCTATATCATCATAATTTAGGTTAGAGATATATAGTAATTACAAACATTACCAACAATGTGCAAGTTTATCATAAAAAATCTTTCAAGGAATTTCATCTTAAGCACATTGCAAAAAAATCTGTTTTCCCCTTTTTGTTTCTAATATCGAAGCATACCTTGCTAACTACAAATAACAATAATATCGATTATTATTATTATTACTACCACTCATGTCTCTTTGGAGACAGTCCAATAAAAAGGGATCAAGTTGGTTTGTGTTAAGGTTTTCACATTTGCTAAAAATGAGGATAACTTTAGCAAGACAGAAAAAGTGGATGTACAAAAGTTGGGTCAGATATAAGGCGAAAACTACAAAACCATTGCAAATATTTTTCCCCACTTTGCTAAACCAGAATAAGAGTAGACTATTCCTGTATCCCTGGTTTTGAAAACTATATGAACAGTAAATTTAATAGCTTTTGAAACATAAGTTTAGGATATGATGTTAATGTCTATGTTGAAAGAAATAGTGAAGCAGGAAGGAAGACAAATGAAAATAAGCTATCATGACATAGGCCACCGACGGGGCCTATTCGTTTCGCCGACTATAATCGTATCTAAAATTGTCCAAGAACGAACTAGGAGTGTAATCGAGCGGTCGATACACCGTCAAAACTCGAACTCCACTCGACTCGCATACCAAGTGCTCAAAACCATCACCTTGGTCAAGCTCAATTCATTGATGACAAATAAAAAGCTCGAGTTCGATAATCTCGGACGTTATATAATTCTAGGTATTTTGTTAACATTTTTTCTTAAACAATAACGAAAGCTCGATTATAGTCTTAATGAGGCCGGCAAGCCTATGAAACTGAGCATTGACAAGCTAAATCTCGACTCGACAAGATACTCATGTAACTTGAACTCGAGCTCAACTCAAAATTAGGCAAGTCGATCTCAAGAAGTCATCGAACTGAATATGAGCTACTCGCGAGTAGCTGGATTCGATTTCACCCCTTGCACAAACTAGCTGAAATGCATTCACCATTTCAAATGGATCAAATGCACTAAATCCAACGGATCGATAGATGCTTAGTCGTCTACATGAGTTAGACACTCTCCTGCATACCAGATGCATTGAGATGCAAATCATCACTATGTCGGAAGGATCCAATGATGTTGCATCGAGATTGCCCATACAACAATCCAAAATCAATACAATTTTCGGTGCACAGATTATTGGGAAACAAAACACAGCACCACCTGCCCTAGAAGTTAAGAAACCGCCAAGGCGGAAAACAAGAAAAGAACATGACTTGCTTATAAATTAGAAGATAAACAAAACTTCAACCTCCCAAATTCTAAGACTAATCTTATCCTCAGCAAACACGTAAAGTAGCACGAGAAGGAGAATGTCTCCTTTTTATTGTTTCTCGTCACACGGTATCCGCCCAGCAAGTCGATAATAGGTCAAGAAGAACAAGTTGGGGGCACGTGCAAAGTTCACCAACTTCTAATTGTGTGGTGTGCTCAGAGGTGGTTGATACCATTAGATGAAGGCGCGGACAGGACAGAGAGAACTTCGGTTACAGATGCCATGGAACTCAAAGCTGCTTTAAGAACTTCAGGCGAACACCCTGGTTTCACAATGGTGCGGACCTGGAAAAGAGACAGTGTACATCAAATCAACTGGAAAAGGAGCGTTGCTTTGATAACACGAGAGTATGAAATTGCTACGAAAGTTGCGCCGCACCACTAAAGCATACATGGGCATTGAAACCTGAAAAGAATGGAACAGCATGCTAGAGAACAAAACAATCAAAACAGACATAACTATGCTAAATTCTGTAACAAGTAGAATTGGTACTCTTGAGTCCAGCCAAGGAATGGTGACTTTCTGGCCTTAAATGGCAAACCAAACACGAGAATAAGAATGATTCACCCTGTCACCACAGCATTTCCTTGTGTTTATTTAAAGGACAAATTTAACATTTGTTGCATCAGTCCCCTCCAATCAAGAGTTCAAATGGCAAACCAAACACTAGAACGAGAATGATTCACCCTGTTCCCACGTTATTCTTTCCTCACATCCAAAGGAATTGAAATGTCACTCCGAGCACTACCATAAAATTTTGCATCCCCATCCTAATTTGGCCTGTGTTTTATTTAAAAAGATAGATGCTCCATAAGGACTGATTTCATCATTTCCTCCCCCATAAAAATCACAAACTCACTCATTTGATAGTTGACTCCAATTAAACATCTCTTTATATCGAAATCCCACGCAAAGATAGAAATTAAGCTACATAGTCAAACAACAAGACTTTACAGGAGGAACGGAGGATACGGTCAAAAGATGAGCACCTTGTCAAGATATTCCTGAAGCTTCTTGATGCGGCCCATGTAGTCCTGGTCTTCCACACACAAAGTTACAGGCTTAGCATCAGCACCAGGTCCATCATACTGAAGAGGTCCTGGATTTCTGTAGAGATCATCCAACAAGAATCTGACCGCATTCTGTTGCAGCAGCCTACACAGCCAGAACAGAATCATACTATCATCAATATGTCGCACAAATCTTTCACGCACAAGGCAGATTTGTCATATAACCAGGATAAATATTATCGTGCGTAAAAAGATGGAAAGATCATTCCAGGAAATCATTTTCCATGAACTTACTCGTATGCTTTGCCTTTCAAATCTACATTGGCTGGATGGATGGCAGGTTTACCAATAAATGAGGAATTGGGATTTTGGGCCCAGCGCTTGACAGTCATCATTGCCTGAAGTCGACAAGCAATTGAAGAAGTTAACAATACAAACTTCTCCGTAGAAATTCAAATTGACAAGCTCAAGATTCAGAGAGGCAATATGCAATTTCAGAGAACAGAAAAAGTCATACTGTTATGGGAGCAGCACCACAACGCCACTTATTCACTGGACTCTTTAGATTAGTTACAGTGGCCATGTAACCATTCAAACCAGCAGCCAATACATGGTAGCAAATGTGCCCCAAAACCTGAATTGAAATAAATCTTAGTCATGGAAAAGGGATAACTGAATCCAGTGATGCAACTGTTAGTAAGGAACATACATAGGCATAATCACAGTCGAACTTCGACGGTAAGGATCCCCTAGCTTGATAGCCAAAAAAGTGGCATATAGCGTTGAACTTTTTCCCCTTGTATGTCCCTTCTTTCTGTAAGCACCGACGACAATAATAGAACATTTCAATAGTTAAAGGAAGTCCACTTAAATAGACAGTTTATCAGAAATTTCAAAGTAAGAACAGGGAAAAAGAGAGAAATTAAAACCAAGGACTTAAATGGAGGTTCAGATTCAAGTATCTTCTTTGTTGGCTGAAGTGAAAAAAGGAAACAGTGCTCATGGAAACTAGGTCAGAGTTCGTTATTCTCTAAGGATGCTGAATAGTGAATCCATGTGTTGAACCTTGGTGAAACATGCAGCAGCAATTATGAAAACCAGCAGCAAAATAGTTTTTCAGCATGATCATGCTCGTGACAAAAAATTTAAACAACATAACTTATATTGAACAGCATTTTTCTCAACCAAGAGGGATGATCTTCCCCAACTAAGCAAAATACAAGGAGAACACGGATAGTTTCATCCTTGTTTGAAGAAATCAGTAACAGAGTATGAATTCATACTCATCAAAAGATGGAAAACAACTATGAAGTTTGGAAAAGGACCAAGTACTCATAAAGTAGAATAAACATGCCAAACCATAACAAGGTAACTAAGGCATACCAGCCGCTTGTTCATTTCTGCCTCCACGAGATGAGCTAGAAGTTTCTCTGTCTCAATCTAGACAAATGGAGAACACATTTCTCTCATTAGTCTCAAATGAAAAATGCTTTAACCTTCACATAAAATTTATCTCAGTGACCTATCCAGTACCTGGGATAACTGAGCAGAGTCATCTGATTCAGGATGAAGGAGTAGCTGGCAAAACGACAGATCAAAACTTTTAGAATGGCATGATTGTCTTTGAAACTGCTAATAAAGCATGAATCTGAAAAACATAATTCCAACCTGCTTCTTGATAAAGGGTGGTAAAAATTCAAAAAGTGCTGACGCCCAAGGAGAAAGTTGAGAGGAAATTTTGTCCACGGAAACACCTTGCCTGAGCAATCCATGAATTTCCTGCAAAGGACAAACAACTAGTGCTTCCTTACAATAGCAAATAGGAAAAAGAAAAGCATTCCCCAATGCACACAACAATTAAAAAAGGAAAAAATGTAAACACTAATTTCATTTTTCTGGTATAAGTGCAAAGACTGATGCATTACCTTCAAAAGAGAATAGACTTCAGGAATACTTTCAATAAGCCCTTCCGGTATTACGATAACACCATGGTTCTTATCTATTAAATATAAACCGAGTCAGTAGGTGAATTCAGAAACATAAGTGCATTTCTAGAGATGTCTGAGAAACCTTGTTCTGCCCTAGCTTGAACAGCATCGCATAACTGCTTTGCCAGGTCAAATAGAGTAAGCTTTGACGCAGCAACTTCTTCCCCGAGAATTACCTACACATGAA